AAACTACTTTTTTTTTTAGCAAAAGGAGATAAGAATAAGAGAAAAAAAACCTCACTTGTTGCTGATTTAATTTGTGTCCATCGCTCCTAACAACAGTTCTTAAGCTCTAGTGTATTAATAGGTATATACGAAGGAAAAAACAAATAGAGATATATTTCATGAAGTATAGGCTCACATTTAGAGGCAAACCTGGAACGCAAGAATTTTGGGCTGTTTTGGTTTGAAAAATTATGAACTGATTATCAAAAACTGTTCAGATCTTGAATTTCCCTCGGGAGCATAAATAAAAAGTATCTATGCTATCTATCTAGATCTAGCCTACCAGTTGATTAAATCCCCTTGAGCTTTATAATGAAACAGGTTGTAACTTTTAAGTGAAATAAAGTGAGCTGTGAAGAGATGTGGGCCCTTGATCATTTAATATCCTTTTGTGAGAATTTGGAATAACTTTTTTTGTATTTTTAATCAAACATCGATCCACTTTTTCCTATAAGCGGCTAACTGCTTATTAAATCTATTTACGTTTTGTTTGTTTAAAACTTATTTAAGATTCTGTTTGTGTAACATTTATGAGGATGTACTGGCAGTAATGGACTATAACATTCATAGGTGTGTTTTTTATTAATGTATAGTGACCTGAAAATAAGATTTGTTGCATTTTTGTTACCTTGGATGAGAATGAGGTTTTAAAGGGGGGAGTGGGTCCTCTTCCACGGAGCCCGCCATCTTGAACCGCCATGTCTACAGTAGCCCAGAATAGACAAACCAAACACTGGCACACTATAATACCCATGAGCCTCGGCCACCATTGCCATGGAGAAGAGTATTTATTCCACCAAACTTGAACCCAAAGTTATACGTTTTCCTAATCTTTAGCTTCCACGTCAGCAGTGCCTGTGACAGAACATTAAGGTCTATGATTGGATGTTTTTTGCCGAAATGCATCATGGGACTCGTAGTTAACTTCTCCCTCCCCCGACTCTTTTAGGGACACAAACTTTTAGGGCTTACCTTCTACTTTTTTTTCTTATCAAAGAACACAGTTGATTCATGCTAATCTGAGCCAGTGGAAGAGCTCCAACTGTGAGTCAAAGTGACCACTTGAGGTCGGCCCTCACTTCCCCCACTCTATATGCAAACAAAAACACATACATCATTTCAATTTGCAAAGACCAAATGTATTGTTTTTTTAAACTAAATTTGAGCTAAAGCGGGCAAACCTACATCCATAGGGCAGCTTTTGTTTATGTCTGCATATGTCTTTCAGTGATCTTTTTTGAATGGCGAATGCAGACTCCCGCCACCTACTGGTGTGGAGAGTTATTACCTCCCACGCAACCACTGAGTATGTGCTTGTAGGTTGTCCGCTGTAGTCGGTGCAGTGTGGTTTAGTGTCGCCTTTTGGCCAAGACACAGGCGACTTGAGGCGTTGCAGCAGTCGGCTTTCGTCGCCGCTAGTTCTTTGACATTGGTCCGGTGTGTCAGGCCCCTTAGCACTTGTGATCAGATCACCCAAGACACATGTTAATGCCAGGTGTAAACAGGGGCCTGAAATAGATCTTCACAACTCTATTGTAACACCACCCCAACCCCCGAGGTCAGACATGTTGCCTTGTTTAACCTTTTTAAACTTTAAAATATAATGTTTATGGTCATTTTATGTCCCTAAAGAAGAAGGTGGGGGATGGGGGGAGTTAAAAATACTGTAGAGACATCCATCAGCCTGTAATAACAGCATCCGAACACTAAGTCTAAATATATGCAGTCCCTTTTTTTAGCTGCCATATTCGCATACAGTCACTAAAACACTAATAACACACAGGTCATATGCACAATCCAGGGATGTAGCATATATATCCCTGGAATTAAGCTTTAAATGAGTATATCCAAATAGAGTAGACGTCCCTGTGGAAAAATAAAGCTTGAATATTCATTGGCATAAATAATCAGACCTGTAACCATGGCAACAAAAGGCTTAAATGCAGCTTGCTGTGGTGAAAGTGTTCAAAGCTTTCTAATAAAAGTACCAATACAACTATATACTATTTAAAAATAGAGTCCATTGCAAGTGAAAGCGCTGTATTCAAATATTACTAAAATAAAAGTAGTAAAATCAGCTAGTAACATAAATTATGTTACTATATAAATTATTGGATTACTTTACTGATGCATTAATGTGTACAGCAGTGGAAGATCTGATACTTTACTTAAGTGAAAGTACTCGTATAACAATATAAAAATACTGTATTACAAGTTAAAGTCCTGTATTCTAAATCCTACTTAAGTAAAAGTATTATCAGCTAAAGCTACTTAAAGTATCACAAAGTATAAGTATACTTATTCAGGCCGCTTTTAGTGTATATTATTATGAAATCATTAGATTGTTAATGCTGATTTTACTGCTATAGCTGCTCGTGGTGAAGCTCATTTTAACTACTTTATATACAGTTAGCTAGTTTAGTCGAGTGGTTCCCAACCCGGATACACAAATCTGTTTTGAGTTTTTAGACTTTTCTCTAATCTTTTTTTTTGTTGAAATGTTTCCTCTTTGGGCCTCAAACAGTTATTTAAATGAAACCACGTGAGAAGTTTAGAGCTGAAATGTCTCTTCGGTTTAACTCATAAACATCTAAAACATGACAAGGAGACCACTTGTACAGTATAATGTTGTATCTACTAGAGTTAGAGCTATATATATATAATATATTTTATAATATTTTATTATAATGTATATAAGTAATAACTCACTGGTCCCAAAGAACTAAAATATTTAGCATATAGAAGCATAAATTACAAATGTGCTAAACTAGAAAGAATTTATCAATTTAATGGGAATGTTAAAGCTTTAATAAGAACACTATTAAGATATGACAATAGTTGAATGCACTATAAATGTAATACAGACCATAATATTAAAAGAAGGAAGTACTGAATACTTCTTTGGCTCTAGCAGTCAAACCATGTGGATCATATGTCATTAAAATATTGTCACACTTTAGTAATTTACTGCTCTGATAGGCTTCAAGCTTCAGAATCTTTAGTACTTTTTACTCTTTTTGCATTTAGGTTTATTGGACTTCTATTCGAGGATTTATATCTTCTTGGCACAAACACAAGCGAAAGCAAAAGCATTCAGTCACACTATGAAAAAAAATCAGATCTAACTTCCTGTTGTTGTCAGACTGATTGATAAGTCACATATGGGCAACATTTACATCCATATTCTTATATCAGAATAAGTGATCAGGCACATTACTCCTGTCTATATGTCTAAATCTGCGGTTTCCAACCTGGGACCCCCACAAAGGGCCCTGAGATTGATCTAAGAGGTCGGCAGATGATTGGGGTGGACAGATAATAATAAACTTAAGTCTATTAATTGAAATTATGTTTATTTTTTAGGGATTCTTCTTTGATCTTTTCTACTTTCTTCTACTGTAATACGATCAAGTTTGACCTTTTCAGGCCTTTAAGTGAATTAATCTGAGAATGGAAAATCCCTCTTCTATTGAACTGCTCACATTTATATTTATGAAACCTGTTATGAGGGGTCACAAGCAGACAAGGCTTTCTATTAAGGGGTCCTGAGAGAAAGAGACTCTGGGATGGTAAGTAACAGGCACCAATCGTTTGAATAGACTTGACTGTGATGACTGCACTTTTGGTCAAAAACTTGATCAAGATTGTGGAGCTACAATGTCTCATCGGTAATTACTGTATATCTGCTTTGACAGATCTAGGCTAACAGTACCCCCTGCTTCCAGTGTTTATGCTAAGCTAGGCTAACCATATCTGTGCACTGATACCAGTTTTTCTTCTAACACCAGAGAAGAAAGCAAACAAAAAATGTTTTCCAGATTTTGTCAGCTTTAAGGATGGGCCTCTTAAAACTAATTTAATTTAGTTTATTGATTTAATATCATAATATAATTTTATAAAATGATAACATGATTTTAGATTGTTTGGCAGATTGGTCTCCGTTTCAGAGAGTTATATCAGATTATTAGAATATTATTACTGATGCTTTTACAGAATTTTAATGTCACAGCTGGTGTAGGTGGATTTATTTCTATACTGTTATTTATATATGCTTCTATAGCAAAGGGTCATATTTTATAAATGAACATTTTGTAAAAAAGTATTAGTAATTAGTAAGTATAGCTCCAGCTGTCAGACAAATGTAGTGAAGTAAAGTGCACTTGAGTAAATGTCATTAGTTACTTTCCACCACATCCTGTGTGGATTTAACATTTTTTCCTGTCTGCCTGCATGAGTTTCCCCTCTAAACTCTGTCATGTTTTTAAGACTTAAACTCCTTTAAGGGTTAAATTAAATTAAAATATTCTGCTCCCTATACCACAGGAGAAAATTAAATATTAAAATATATATTACAAAACCATATTCATGATCAGTGTACAAAAATGGTTAAAACCAAGGCTTCGTGATGCAAACACTTTAGGTGAAATGTAAGTGCAGCCTCTCAGCTGATGTGATTAGCAGCTTGGTTGGTGATTTTGTACAGAAACGTGATCTCACACTGGACTCATGTACCCTGCTGTGAGAATACATAACTGCTGTTACCTGTGGTCTCCAGTAGGGGGAGGAAGCACGTGTCTGTTCAAACTTCCACAAAGCTGAACTGAACTCCACCCCCTCATGAGGCTCAAGCATGAGAAGGCAGGCCTCAACTAAAACACTCACACCAGCCTTTGTGCTCATGAAACTGAGCAATAATTCCAGACTCTGTTCTACTGTGTCACAGATCAAATTTGTTTTGATTTTTTCTGAAATCTCAAGATCAAAATCAACAAAGACGCTTTGGAAACAAAAGCAGTGACGTCAGCTGTTAATTAAAGTTGATTTCAGGCTTTTTAATTAATGTTTCCCATCAACACTTAAAGATTCAGGTTAGGAAGTATCCAGATCCTTTACTTAAAAGTACTAATACCACACTGTGAAAATACTCAACAACTACAAGTAAAACTCCTGCTTTTAAAACCTTATAAGTAGTCGTGTGATTTATAGCACCAGACTAACGTATGATATGATGGATAATGTAATCTGTAAAATGACATAGTATAACACAATACAGGGTTTTTGTTTCTGAGGTACAATATACATATGAGTTAATTCCACCATTGCCATCAAGTGGAGTCAGACTTCAGTTGCGATAGTATTTCCTAACTGCTGACGTAGCAAGTATGACCAATTTAAGACCAGCACCAAAAGTAATAGCTTTGCAAAAATGACCCCCTTTCAGGATGTGAGGTTATGGAGCTCTTAAGGTCCTGAAAGATGTCCCCCCGCCCCCACTTTAATCTATTGCACACAAGATAATGATTTCTTTTAACAGAACAAGTACACTTTGTGTGCAGCAAGATTGAAAATATTTTCCTGGACTTCAGTGGTCCTCCTGTTGGTTTTGCTGTGGAGCCAATTTACAACTTTATCATTCTTATTAGTTCATGATGACCTTTTTGTAAATTCCTGTGTATCTTTGCACAACTCCGAGCTGAGCAGGACTAATCACATAACTCAAAACACCTGGGTCTGCGAGGCCTTGAATTTATAATAATGCATTTTAGTAAGTTGATCATGTGTTTTATATGTAAAATCAGAGTAAATATAGCAGTGAAATAAATGAAGTGGGGGAGGAGAAGGGTTGGCATGTAATCCGATACAATTACCAATTACCTGTTAAAAATATAGTTAATACCCTAATCTATGTATCACAGTATCAAAGAAACATGTGCTTCCTGTTACTTTTGGATGATCTTAAAACCAAATATGCAAATAAAGAGAAAAGAAAATATGTATAAGATGACTTTCACTTGACTGTATTTTATAAGACAACAGAACAATGTAACCTTAGGAAAGAAAATGGGAACCAAGATTTTTAGCATCAAAATGTGTCCTCTGCTCAGTGTATTTTTTATACAGTAGACTACAGACCATTTTCACAACTGATAGGTAGAACTTGCTCTGTAACTGTGATGCTGTTCCCATTTTCTGCTTTAAAGACAAAATAATGGTGAAAAAGCATTTTTTTCCCCCCACTAGAGGACAAGACTTGTGAAGTTTGTCGATGGTAGTATATATTTTAATTGTAATGGATTACAATTACCTTTTTTTGTTTACTGATTATACAACTCCATTATGAATTGGAAATACTCAAGTATAGTACAAGCAACTAAGCCACCACGGCCTGAAACTACATTAATATACTACCAAGTTGCTGCACTCACTTAAATACAATACTTAAATTAATAAATTAATTATAGTTTTCTTTAAAACACTGCATCATTTGACTGTGTTACTGCTGTATGGAGCCGAGCAGCTGGAGAGGCTCTTTACTTTGAGACATCAGCGACCGTGTGGCAGAAACAGGCTGCAGCAGACTGTCTGCAGGAGCACAACAAGGCTCCAGGCTGCAGCTCCACTTTGTCCTCTGCATGTCAGTGAGAGCTGCAGCAGCACAGCAGCAGAGGCGTCACTGCTGATAAAAGGGGTGTTCTGCGGTGAAGCACACTGATGATATTATCACTCAGAATTAAAACCAACAATTGAGTACTAGAATAATCTGGCTAGAACACACCTTACATGTTGTGAAAACGTTTGATAAACAAAATAAATAACAGATACCACACTCAGGTTTAGTCAAATCAGACTTTATTAACATGAAAAGCCGACATTGCACCACCCTTTAAAACTAGCTGCTGTGTTTTCTCATAGATGGTTTATTTCATCTGTGTTTCTGACAGAAGTGGAGGAAGTATTCAGAGACTTTATTTGAGTAAAAGTACAATACCACATCGTAAAAATACTGTTAAAAGTATGTAAGTTGGGGCGTGTCCAGAGGAGGGATTGGGGGGCCACCCCTGAAATCTGATTGGCCATCATAAATTTTGGCGATGAAACAAAGCATGCATTTTTTTGCATGTGGTATAAATGTGTTATTTTCGCCTAGTATGTTGAATATTTCCACCTACTCGGGTCCCTAAACACTATTGGAATTGCACAAATTGGGAATGAATGCAAAGCTGAGACACATGCTTGTACACATACTGTATGTAAGTATAATCAGGAAAATGTACTTCAAGTATTATGTAAAGTAAAAGTACTCAGTGTGACTTTTATACTATTAGATATTGTAATATTAGATTATTCTTACTCATGTTTTAATGTAAAAGCAGGATTTTACTGTTGTAGTTGGTGGAAGTGGAGCTCGTTTGATACTGTAACTAATGATTACTTGCATTATTATTATTATTATTATTACCATAAACTGATTAACTGCCAATTTAAGAAAGAAATCTAATCACCTCCATTATAATTTATAGAATTTTCAGAACATCTACTTTCTCTTTCTCAGCATGTTCACTAACATGTGATCTGCAAATTATTATCATCATTTGTTGATCAGTTGACTCAACGCTGCATTTCCCTGCGATCACCTGCCATTTTTAAAGCTATTTGTGTTTTTGTTTTTTTTGCCTTTATTGGATAGGAACAGCTGAAGAGAGACATGAAAGGGGGAGAGAGGGGGATGACACATAGCAAATGGCTGTGGGCTGGAATCTAACCTGGACCTCTGGGGTAAGGACTCAGCCTTAGTAAATGGTGCACACGCTCTACCAGGTGAGCTACTGGGCTTAGTCTTTTTAATTGGCTTAAAGGTCCAGTGTGTAACATTTAGGCGGATCTATTGGCAGATATGTATAAAATATGTATAGGTATGTTTTCATTCGTGTTTAATTACCTGAAAATAATAATCATTGTGTTTCCATTACCTTGGAATGAGACGTTTTTATCTAGAGGAAATTAGTGCTCTTTTACAAAGGCTGCCATGTTGAACTGCCATGTTTCTACAGTAGACAATAGATAAACCAAACACTGGCTCTAGATTGAGCCTTTCACTTTTGTGCAAGTTTTGCTGCACCATAGTTTCTCCTACAGGTTTGGAAAACTGAGCTGTATTCAAATGGTTGTAATCTACAACTTCACCACTGGATACCACTGAATCCTACACACTGGTCCTTTAAAAGATGCCCTCTGGAGTTTTCAGTTATGTTTACAGTTACACATTGAATGAATCCTAAAGGTCTAACAAATGTGTTAAATTACCTCCCTTATAAAACATTTGCTAAGCTGATTTGTTAACCATTTTAAATCCTGCATTGTTTATATCCATGTTAACTAGCTAACGGTCTTCTTCTTCCCTGCCTTTCCTGGTGCACTGCTGCATATCCAGGCATGTTACTGCCACCTGTAGGTCAGTGAAATAGCACGACACCATTGCTAGTACTGTATCACATTACCTCAGGTGCACATACACAAACAAAACGGGGACTCACTCATAGAAACCAGCTCCATAGTGCCATTAAAGTTCAGTAACTCCACAGGAACCATTTAATGTTTCAAAAACATTACAGTTTGTAATTGAAAATAAAAAAAAAAGCTTCTGAAGCTCTGAAAGAGTGAAACTTATTCAAATAATATTAACACATTTTGCTAAATTAAAATATTGCAGGCTTTAACAGAACAGAAAAACAGACTCAATTTGCTCTGCCTCATAGTGTGTGTATTATCTGCATCCTCTCTGGTCTTATTTATCTTCCTCCTCTTCTTCGTCGCTCTCACCATCACTCTCCTCTAACAGTCGGGACTGGAGAGCCAGCCGCTGCGCCACAGCCGTTACCATGGCAGCGCCCTTCCCACTGCCGTCCTCCGAGACGAGGAAGGTGATGTCACACTGTGGGGCAAGGAGGCGCACCGCCGCTTTGAGCTTGTCGCTGAAACTACAGAGGGGAGGAGAGGAACAGAAAAGGGGAGGGTGGGATTGAAAGAGATGAGAGAAAATTCAGTGCAGAGAGAGAAAGAAAGGAAAGAAGGAGGAGAAAAAAATAACAAAAATAAAAATAAATATTTGACAAGTACAATATGTTGCACACAGAATCTCTATCACGAAAGTGTTTTAGACAAGATTAAATCAACTTAAACTTTAATAAAATGGCAAATCAAGTGCACAAAGCAGTGCAGACTAACATATATATGTACAGTAGTAATATATAAATAAACTGTAAGTGGTATTTATGAACACGCTAAGATGTGTAAAGTATGAACATGTGCAGCAGTTATAAAAGGGTAACTAGTGCAGGTATAATTTAAATGCAACATCCGCTGAAGGAATGTGTTGAACGTCGTTAAACACATGAAAGGAAATAATAATGAAGGAAAGAGGAAGTGGCGGAACTTCTGAACAGTGATTCAGAGTATTTTCTCAACATGCTGTTCTTCTCACAAAGGCAGGAAGTTTATTAATATGTCACCACAGAGCGCCACCTCCTGCCTGTTCACACAGACAGATAAATATGATTTCACATCTCCTCAAAACTGAGAGGAAAAAAAAAAAAGAGGAAAAAATAAACTCAGGACTTCCTCCTGTTTCCTGTCATCGCTGGTTCAATGACAGCTCGGCTGTGTAGACACCCACAAAATAAAAAAATTATGGTATTTGTTTTAACATTTACTGATAAATGTGTGAACTTGTAAGAGCACATGGAGGTTCCTGCTTTACTGACTCTCGAAACTTTACACTTCTCAGTTCTTCAGTTAACAGGACAGTTTGTCAACTAGACTTAATGTATTTTTCAGTAAAAGTCACATAACTGTCTTTATTTATGTCTTTAGCATTTTTTTGTTGTTTATTGTGTATTTATGTTGGTGTTTAGCAGCCAGCTGTCTAACTTCACAAGCTGGAGGGTCCTTGAATGCACCACAAAGAAGAAAATGAAGTTAGTGTGTCACCAAAAGTAATCAAACCCAATATTTGAGTGAATGATGGGTAAAATTACATTCAGTCATATCAAAGGTTGGACACCTAAATTGACTGAACCCTTTCATTTAACCCGTAGCAGTATAGAAACATTTAATAAATGGTTTATAACACACTATAATGTAGCTGTAAGCTGATATAAAGTGTTTATTGATGCAGTTGTCATCAATTTTAACTTACTTACTTTAATAAACACTTATATCTGCCTATAAATACATTTTAATATGTTTATTACAGGTTTATATATTAATAAAATTATAAATAGGAGGGGTTAAAATAAATTGTTCATTCAATTCAACTTTTCAGCCACTTTAAATGCAGGCATTCAAATGGTTTTCCTTTTGTCCGTATTTCCCTCACATTCCCTCTTACTTGGGGTGCTTTCTGTAGACAGTCCCGTCCACCCCCACTGTGGTCTTCAGATGGTCCAGCCCGCGGTTGACACGGATGCGGTTGGCGATGGTTGCCAGGGCAGCGGCGCAGAGACGGGCGGAGCGCGAGGAGATGGTGTCGCAGACCAGACGCACAACGCGGGAGTCGACCAACTCCCACTTCAAACCCAACTTAGTCAGAATATTCTGGGCGTTTTCCAGACCATTGTCCTGCCTGAATCAGAGACACAGACAGGAAATAAACAACAACATGGAGGCCCAAACAGAACTCATGAATGAATAATCAAAATGGTCAAATTATACAAAGTAATTTGGTTTAAGAGAGACAAATATATTGACTTTAAGGAACAAGGAAGTGCTCCATTATTAGGTCTTTTTAACTTCCTGTCTACACAGGAAGTGTGAATGCGTCACGTTGTGTAGCTTGAGATCTGCAGACACAGCTGGAAGAACATGAAAGAGTTTCTGTAGGCTGGTTTTAGAACTCAAGACACGTCACCTGTTTCAGCAGCCCATCAGCTCATAGCAAAGTTACCTGCGCAAAGCAGTTACAAACTGTCAGCTGGTTGAAATGGCAGAGTTTTGGACAGAGGAGAGAGAAAGGATCACCTCATCAGTTGGATTGAGTGTCTGTATGACACAAGCTTTAAAATGTACTTGTGCCCCCACGTACGGCTCCAAATTCTCTGTACCTCTCTATTCACTATCCTCATTCATATTTTAGGACGCCATAAATTATATCCAGCTGCAAAAAAAAGCCTGAAAAAACCAGCAGTCAGAACGAAAGGACAAAGATTCGTTGCTATGGAGACAATACACCATTGGTGTAAACTGGTGGGTTTTCATAATGTTGCAGACTGGTGCATTGCAAGTAGTTGCAAAGTTTTGGTCCGAACTGGCCTTTATGTATAATAGTCATGGTGACTGTTCAATGTGTGTATTCATGTTTTATTCATGTGTTCATAACAATATGATCTCATAACAGACGCTGTCTGAATGGCTGCTGTACAGTGACGCTCTGATTATACAGTAAAATCAGGTTTACTGCAGACCAGTGACAAACAGAGTGACAGCTGTTTATATGAACATCCTCACTGCACTGCATTATTATAAACTACTTTGTGATGAACTGGCCATATCACTTTCTGCCTCTTCCTCTCTCTAGGGCTGCACAATTAATCGAAGTGTTATCGGAATCGCAATACGGCCAAGTGCGATATCCAATTTGCAGAAGCTGTTGTTGATGAAGGTGAGATGTGTGATTAAACAGTATTATAATGAAATACTGCAGTGCTGCAGAGATGTGCTGACCTATAAATCTTGTTCTCCAGATGTAATAAAACATGTTTGTTTGGTACAGACCCTAAGAAATGTAACATCATCATGATTTTAATAGTTTTTTTCAGTGAAAATGAAAATTGTGACGGAAAAATTATCACTCTCACTAATTGTGAATTATATTGCAATCGTAATTTAAATATTACAGCCCTAGTTAATACCTACTATATAAAAATCATCCTGGCAATGCCAGTGAATGCAAATGTCGGGCAGCATTTAGTATTATGTCATCATATAGACTGACTTTCTCTTAGCACCCCCAACTCTGATGGAATCCCAGCATCCCTAGGAGACTAATGATGTTAAACAGATAGAGGAGTGTTGAGTTTGCATCGACGAAAAACTACAAAAACAAATTAACACAGCAAAAAAGTTACTAATAAAGACCTCTATAATAGCCTGTCAGAGGTAAAGAAACGCCCTGTCTACTATTTGATAAATTCAAGAATTAGTGCTTAAAAATGTGTTAATTAATGCTTAAAATTTGATATATTGTGCTTTAAAAAGTCATTAGAACAAATATAAATTACAAAAGTTTAAAACAATTACATTTCCCTTTAAAGAAAACACTGAAATGGATCAGTTTTGAGCGCCAGATCATAAAATGTATGACTTAAGACCACAGTCTTGATGCCTGCTGACGAAAGGTGGATGACTGTTATAAGAAGCGCTTTGTCAAACACTCACTCCTCAATCTCAGAGATGAACTTTGTCTCAAAGCTGCCTGGAGTCCTCAGCGCCTCTGAGGTCTGTCCCTTAAACAGCAGCTTGACCTCGGTCAGCCTCACCAGCACCAGCCGAACGATTTCTCCCAAATACATCCCGCTGATCATCTTCTCAAAGCTACAGGAGGAAACAAGAAGCAGAATATCAGCTATAAAAAAACAAAAGTTAAAAATAGCACACACACACACTTCAAACAGCTGCTTCTTTTGCATTTTCTCCCCATTTTTCTCTTCATTTTCCATTACTGAAAGCTTTTACAGAGCTGTTCTGATCACAAGAGAACCCCAGGCGTAGACTGAAACATCTTAACAACTAGAACTTGAAATAACACTATATAAAGGCCTTTTGTTCTATGACTTTGACAAAAGCGTGATGTCAAAACATGTTGGAATTTGTTTTTAAATCTAAATTGACCGTGCTGTGACAGGTAAAAGTTTTCACTGTGAAATATCTGAACACTGCTACACTACACTGAAATGGTTCACAGACAATATGTCCCATTCATTTCTGTGATAATTTGACTTTTCTTCTAGCGCCACCACGAGGTTGACATTTGCAGTGATAAGTGAAATATCTATACTATTCGATGGCTTGCCATGAAATTTGGTACAAATATTAATGTTCCAGAGAGAGTGAATCATAATAACTTTGATTATCCACTGATTTTTCATCTAGGATGTTGACATCGTACGTACGTGTGGACCCCGGGGTTGATGGACATCTTGTCCACCACCTTATCAAACTCCGTCAGGATGTCTTGCAGGGAGCCGTCGTCTCCGAAGCCGCCCCACTCTGTGTTAATGCACATCCGCCCGTCCTCGCCCTCCGCACGCTTCACGTTCTTCATCTCCTCCATGTAGCAGGCATTGGTTCCCGTACCTACAGAGGAAGAGAAGAACAATAGAGGATCCAGCATATTAAATCTAATTTGTTTGTGGATTGGCTTTTTTGTGTTTGTTTTCTTGTGTACCATGTGGATTCAGCTGCCATCTCGGCTCCAACTTAAGCAACCACACAGCCAGCACACAAAAACAACACAAATTAGGTTATCTGAGCATGTGGCAACTCCTGATATTTCTGCTCGTGACATTACTGAAACAATAACACATGTAAGTTATTTGCCTTGGTCTCATTATTTTCTAGTTTTTATGTAAAAATAGAATCAGGGAATTAAGTTTGATCATCAAAAAACCTGCATGTTCTCTTCTAAAACCACAATTATATCTATTATACACCCTTAAATATGTCTTGGTATGTCTGTCAATAAGCTGCACTTGTAGGTTTGGGCTTAAAGACTTATTACTATGACAACAGTTCCAGATAAAATTTAAAGAAGCTTCAAAGAACCAAAAGAATCCACATCCACAATATGACCTAAACAACTAAGTTATCCATAAGATTGGGACCCCAGAAATATGTACACAACAATCAAACCTTCCTGTTCATTCTCCACCTTTATTTCAGTCCCTATGTGTCGGTCTCTCCAACAAACACACACACACACACACACAGACACACACACATAAGAATGGTGTAATCATTTCCAGAAGGACGCCGTTTACTTCATATTCCAGCAAGCTCTCAAACCAAACTAATTACAGCAGAGAAAGGAGACTTTTCACTGCCACAGCACGACCCTCATTATATCTAATGTGATCATGCTGTCAAGGAGCCTCTCCTGTTCACCAGGTAAAACACATTATGTGCATTAGGTAAGAATTAATATGTTCTATAAGGCTCCATACCACCTGAGAGAGGACGCGGTTTTCTATAATTAGCTTTCAGAGTGAAGAAGAACAGCCTCCTGGGTGTCAGATTTCAACAATACCAATTATTGTATCTGCAAGGTTGGAACAATACTTTGAAGAAACATGCATCTACTGTATATTAATGTTAGCAGCTGTCATATCAGCAAAATATTTTTTTGTGGTGTAAATATAAACTTGTCACATGCATCCTTACAGGCCACTTCTTCTCTGTTCAGCAATGATCAGTATAAGTATAGAAAGTCCTGACATTACTTCCTGTGTGGCTGTCTCTGGTCCACTAGCTTCTGTAACGTCTGTAAAATCTCTCATTCAGCATTTCTTTCATCTTTCTGACAAGAATAAAGTGTGTTCCTGGGGTTTACTTTCCATATTCCACAGATCAACTCCACAACATGCTAACATGCTAACGCTAAGCAGATAAGTTTACCATGATCACCATATTAGTTTAGCCTGTTACAACTCACAGTTCAGGCTGATGTCATTGGTTTTTCAGGTATGAACCAAAGTGTTGGTAAAGGAAAAAGATAATAGATCACTAAATTAATTACAGTTCGTCCTGAGTGTTGCCTTCCTATCGTTGGTTTTATGTGATATGATAAACTTTAAGAAAGAGCCATTTGTCCACTTTGCACCAGTCTGTCCAAGTATGTACAAATGTTAAATGTACCAATGCATAATGACTATTGCATGAAATTAATAATACAAATACTTAAATAATGCAAATATTAATAATATTAACTGAAATTATTTAAAAAGATCACTGGTCAGTTTTTACGCCGATGATCCTCGCTTATTACAAAACAACTTCCTGTAATTTGTCAGTGTGGTCTGAAACCATGTTTAGTTACCAAGAAGTGGGTTAGAAATGGGAAAATATATTGTTACATATTATATACCTCTGTAACATTAATCCCATCCGAATGGAACTTAAATTTATTTGGAAGTTTACTTTTCTCTGGCTGAACCCAGGTAAGAACAGCAATGATAACAAGCTGCATTATACTACTACTAAAACCTTGAATGAAGAAAGAAAATTAGGTCATAATCAGGATCAGAAGCTTTCAGCTATGTACATACTGTAGTAGAATGTACCTACTTAAGTACAGTGTTGAGGTACCTTTATTTTACTACGCAGCAAAGGGCCACAGGTCGGATTCGAACCCTG